CTGCAGAACAGAGAACTAAAATGTTGAAGATCACCCGGGTGACCTCAAATGACGAAGTCCTTGAGGCTGAGCGAAAAGTTCTTCGGAAGTGACATGAAGGACTTGTACTTACTTTGGGGAAAGCTCCAGTACCATTTGGCTGATTTCGGTTCAGTAGCTATCCGAATACACCGAGTTTGCTTGTTCTCTGTCTTCTAATCAAAGGAGTTCGCCAACCTGAAAAGAACATGCTTCTTGAATGAGAAGGGTGGTCCTGGTTAGTAAATAGTGTTTTTTTGTGGAGGAGAACTGAGAAGTGATATTAAAAAATCACTCCACCGGCCGCAACATCTTATTGCATGGTTTCGCAAATTACGTATCCTAGGAAATATTTTATCTCATAACTGTTTGATTTGGTTTGTTCTGAACAGAGACCAAAGTTAGCACCATTTAGGATGTTTCTTCCTGATAAAAGTTATCCTGTAGGACTGCTAATTGGCCGTTGCATTTTTGATGAAAACCAACCGTCTTTTATGTGGGATCCTGAACTGTGCTTGCATATGCCATTCGACAAAATACCCACCAAGGTCTGGGACCCGAACAAAGTTTCTCAACAGATTCTATACCGAAAGTGTAACGAGGTCCTCCTACTCACAGACTGCAAATCAGTTTTGCCCGAAATAATTCCGGTGCGGACAGTAACGTCCAAAAAATTTGTAGGTCAAACTCAGTCCTTTCTCTCATTGTTTTTGTGAAGGTCTGAGCAGCTGAACAACTTAAAAGCCTTGTCCATTCTTCGGGACTACGTAGCGACAGCGTTCAGCATCTGAAACTCAAAACAACTGGCGGGTGAGTTTTCATCTGAAATGGGGTTTTCGGATGACCAACTCCCATGGCATTAAAATTCCTCTGGTTTTCCAAATCGAGCTGTTATGCTTGTACTACTTAGTTTGCCTAGGGAAAGTGTGCAAGCGAGAAAGTGGTCAAAATAATCACCTACAGTGCGAACGCATTTCTCGCTGTCTCACTCCTCAAAACAGTTAAGTTCACTGCCTTTTATCCCGCGATGAAATATAGAAATCTAAGGAGTTTTTGTCATTTGCAATAGAGATTTCGTCCTGTAAGTGAAACTAATCTATGCTGAAAAGCCCAGGGGTACTGTACAGCTGTTTTATCCGTGTCTGAACCCATCAACAGTGCGCACCTCACGAAACTTGGGGAATTTGGTAGCCATGAATTCCCGACCGGTGTTCGAACACTTGGCAATCTGTTCACGACTGACTGACGAAAAGTGTGGTTATCTCTCATTTAGACAGAACACAGTACCACTCATCCTCCATTAACGGAAACGAGAGCACGTGGTCACATTTTGGCTGGCTACTCGAGTAACGACTTCCGGCAGTTGTTTTCAAAGGAAAACAGAAAATCCTAGAAAGTCTATAAAGAGCACACACACTGTCGCTTTTATCAATGGTTCTTGAGTCCACATCAGAATTTTATCACCTGAGACACAATAAGTCTCACCAATTGGTCACCTTAACTTGTGGCCGCGTTAGCTCTTCGCGGTTTACTTAGTTTTTCTTGAGTGATTTTTATATTCACAATGTTTTGAGATGGCTGTGAATTTCAGATTCTCCGTGCTGAAAAACGAATGGAGAATTCGGATACGTTGTATAAGCCGTAAATTTAAGTTTTCCCAACCGGAAAACACGTCAGCAGTGTGTATTCAAGTGTAAAACTGTGCGTACAGATGCCGATGTGACCGGTCCCTTGTAGCTTGGTTCTGAAATTGTCAAATGTTGTACGGTTTATTGTAGGTTCGGATAACACGGACATTCGAAATTGGCCTTTCTCCGCCTCAGATAAAATACTGCTGTTGGATACGTCTATTTGCAAGAACAGTAAATTCTGCTGAATAAAAATTTGGCTGTGTGAAACTCTGTCCAATGTGTTTGGGGAAGGGTTACACTTGGTTACCATTGGGGAATAGAAAAAGACAACATGTGGTACATAAGTGGTTTGGTAATGTCTTAGAATATTGGTATATTGTGCACATTTATTGGTAGTTGATCAGGTGGTAGGTGATCTGTTCGCCGAAATGAACTATTGACTTGCAGTCGTTTTTTCCCCATTCGAAGAGACATAATCAGCGCACGAATATATTTTGTTTTGAGAATGGTGTGGTAAGAATTACGGCAGCGTATGTTCGCCGAATGAACTATTGACTTGCAGTCGTTTTTTCCCCATTCGAAGAGACATAATCAGCGCACGAATATATTTTGTTTTGAGAATGGTGTGGTAAGAATTACGGCAGCGTATTCAACTTTGCGATTTCTAACTAACCTTCTTGTGAATCACGCACCAATAGAGCGGTTAATCAGGCAGGCTAAATTTCTCCCTGTAGCCAGATATACTGTACGATGTACATCGTTACGGATATAACTCAATATCACTAAAACACAGAGTAGTCTTCAAACTAAGAGTTGAATTTCCACAGCTGCCTTCCACGTCAATTTGTGCTCGAAGTTAAGGGTTCTCAATCAATTTATTCATGATACTGGATACTTAGTACAACGTACTTCCAGTATTATGCATACCCTTATTAAAAGTCAGCCCACCCATATTTTTCTTGCAAAGGGTCAAATAGTCTCAATAGTTAAAAAACTGTAAGCCAAAACCCAACGCAAACAGCACTAAATCAGCCAACTGCACTCATTTCCAAACAGATTTGGTTATTTTAGAGACTCATCTGAAACCGAGCTGAATCTCTTTTATGATATTTCAGCAACCTTATGAGTAGTGTATTACGTCCAAACTCAATAAAACTTACAGAAGCCCAGAGGGTAGAGGTCTGTCTAACATCCACAACTGGCGTCTGATAGATGATGATAGTGTAACGGGTTGCTCACGTGGATCGGACTGCGTTTTTTCTGGAGACGACACTGTGAATCGAACAAAATATGGCTTTACTGAGGCAAAATTTATGGAATTTAAGTATGAATAAACTTTGAAATCATAGTTTGGGTACAAAATTGTGTCTCATTTGTTGATATCATGGAGAAATTTAGAAATTCAATCCTCCTTCTTTACTAGTGGACAGCCTGCTGCCCCAAAACCAGCAGAGCACCTATTACGGTTTCGCCCTTCTTGCGGCTCTTCGTTCGCCTTAGTTAAAAAACTGTAAGCCAAAACCCAACGCAAACAGCACTAAATCAGCCAACTGCACTCATTTCCAAACAGATTTGGTTATTTTAGAGACTCACCTGAAACCGAGCTGAATCTCTTTTATGATATTTCAGCAACCTTATGAGTAGTGTATTACGTCCAAACTCAATAAAACTTACAGAAGCCCAGAGGGTAGAGGTCTGTCTAACATCCACAACTGGCGTCTGATAGATGATGATAGTGTAACGGGTTGCTCACGTGGATCGGACTGCGTTTTTACGGAAAATTTCAGCCCAGTTAAGAACCTTAAGACGGAGGATGTGTCAAAGACTGCATATATTTCAGTAAAGGGATAATTGTGGAAGAATACCTGAGTGCTAATGATCAAGGTAACGTCATTTGAATTCGCGTCATACAACTGCACCGTCATTAGGCACACACGTTAGAATTCTAGAGATTTATGAACTCCTGAAAGGATTCCTTCAACGAATTCAACATCATGTTCCTTCTCGGCGACGATGTGGTGTCGTTCTGCGTGGGTGAAAAATTGCTCACGCAGTTGAGTGACCGAAGGAAGTGAGTTCTGAAATATCGGATCATGGATCCAAACCCGAATATTAGTTGGGACCATCTGTGCCTGCCCGTGAGTACTTTGTATCCAACAATAACGCACCCAAATTGGGAGAATGCGTGCACCCTTTGGATGCGAGCCTTTACATCAAGAAGTCGCCAGAGTTTTGGATACATTTTTGACTCCGTCCCCATGGATTGTGCATTAGTATCATCATCGATAAGTCAGCAAAACAATCACGGGGAATTAATCTATTTCTGGACAGATTTACTAGCCTCTTCAAAACTGGATTCCAGTTTTAGAACACAGCCAGCCTCAGAGCGGCTGAAGTTTGAAATCATGCTATGAAGTTGTGCTGCTCCGCTAAGCACAGTTCACTCACAAAGTGGAGTACGTATTCTCAAATGCTCTACAAAAGCTAAGTATGTTAGTCATTTGCCCTGCCTTTTACCACTTGATTACCGAAAACAACGCTGTTTGTTTCGACGTGGAATTCCCAGTCAGCCATTTGACGCTCCAGGAAACTGCCAGCCAGTAACGGCTTTGGAGTTTTGACGTCTTTGAGTGGACCTTGCTTACGGACAAACAGATTGCCAATAACTCCCACTACTGGTCATCCGCTCATGGTCAAACTGTGAAGTGCTGGAATTACCAACAGGGAGGTTGTGATTTCGAAACCCTGCAGAGTTTCATGAGATGCGCACGGTTTATGGTTCCCAGCAAGGATGAAACGGCTGTACGGTAAATCTCGGCTTTTTAGCATAGATTGATCGGCTTCATTGGTAGGACAAAGCCTCAAGAGAAAGTGGTCAACAGAACTGAGAACAATAACGGTCTTTTACTTCAAAATACAACAAAATAGGCTGCCTATTCATCATGCCTCAGCAATAGCTAAAGTAGACGTATCTAATGGTTCTCTTAAAAACACTGAAAGCGTTCAGAGTTGCCTTCACTTTGTCATTCCTATAAGTGTTCACCTTGCGTAAAGACAGGTGCATGTAAAAACTGGTATTTTCCCTTGCTGTATGCGGTTTCAGCGGCAGTCTTTAACATAACAGGAATAACTTAAAAGGGTGTGATGATCAATCATGGAGATCACACGAAACTAGTCCGGGGTTTTTTATGGAACTGTTTGACCTTAAGCCGCTTTTACACTTCCGTATATCATCGGATACCATCCAGATTAAGACATCCTGATGTCCTGAGTGCTGATGGTCTGAGTTAGCTTTGAAGACATTGTGTACGAGCTAGCTAAGTGACTACTTATATCCTTTGGTTTTTAGATGAGCGTGAGTATATGCAAAAAGTTTTGTTCACCAAATGGATCAACGCCCAACTTGGTGTCTCTTCTGCAATGGACAATATGGAATCGTGTTCACCCATTATGGATATACAACGAGCACACCCAAATCACATGGCTCGTCTATGGGGGTTGCAAGAATTTCTATGCGTGCGTGAACTGTTCACAGATTTGCGAGATGGGAGAGTTCTTATCAGACTACTGGAACAGCTTTCTGGACAGTACCTGGTAATTACCCGGAAAGTCTGTTTTTTTTTCTCATGAATGAGTGATAGACATATGTTGGTCATAAAAGTTGGGAAAGAGGAACGACCAAAAAAACTACGTCTTTTAGAGCAGCCATTGACCAACGTTTTTCAAGCTGATGAACAGTGAATATATAAAATCAACTGTTTGTAGAAATGCTTGAAGAGGTTACCCACGACAACCGAAGCATCGGATTATATCACCTTACTTTACCATGGTCTGCTTTGAGTTCAAACTTTCCAAAGTAAATAAACCCCCAAATACGGACAGCGATCATGGAGCGACAGCAAAGAAAATAACTATTACTTACTAGTAGTCAGGTGTGAAAAAGTGTTTGACAGATTAGTGACACCTTGCACTGCACTTCGTGTCGAAGCAGACTGCCAAGGTATGCACCATAATAAATTTCCGTTGTCAAGATACTTAATTTTTCAAAAAATAGTTTTGCGGCCGTAGACGTATAGAATAGTCTTCCACTGTATTTTGCTTACGCATTTTTTATCAGTGTTCGTCCATGAGGACCCTTATTCAACGTTTCGCATCTCAGGAGTGCTTATTGCAGTTATCTGAGTTTCTATTCAATTAAATCTTATTGCATATTAACATTTTGAGACAGGCGGGGACTGCAAGTTTCCACACTGAATTTTTAAGGAGCTTGATGGAACACACTACTGATGGTTGATCGGATGGCAGTTGATCTGTTCGCCGAGCTTGTCAAATTGGCTTGCAACGTTTCGTCTCCGGTCGAGGAGACATTGTCAGTGCGCAGTTGAATAGGTGCTTCCTCCGTGCCTGGCTGCGTTTATGTAGTGTTTTGTGGGTTATCTAATATGCTGTCAGGTGATTGGCTAGTTGGTATATGCCTCCTGTTGCATTATTGTAGGGCCGACCGTCCTTTTTCTGCTGCGTTGTGGTCTGTATGCCTCTTACTACATTGGTTTGTTGGGTGGCTGCTTTGGGGTGCTTGCAGTTGGTCCGTTCCCGGTTTCTGTTTTGTTGTGGTCTTCCTTCCTTGAATCTGCTTGTTTGTGACGCCGTCTTCTATTTTTGGTAGTTTCCTTGCTTCAGTCTGATTGTTTGTTTCTTTTTTCCTTGTCCGACTCTGTATTCTGTAGTTCCGGGATTCTTTTGTTTGCAGTGACCGATAGACTGGATCAATTTCGATGTGTCTCTTGATGGCTTTTTCAGTAGAGTGCCATGCTTCTATGAACACACTACTCATAAGGATGCTGTAGACTCTGACCGTACCCGAGCGTCTTCTCCCCTCTTGAGACGTCAAATGGGTACAGTCTCCCAGTTTTTGTCAAATGGTAAGACGTTTGCAAAGTACATTCATTTGAACACTACTTTGGTTTCGGCGTCAGACCAAATCGAATTACAGCTAAATCTGTTTCTCTTACGTGATGTTCTTCAATTGGATGTGCAGCGCAAAAGGCACGTCATGTTTCATTGGGTACGACGTCCAAAATACAGTCGTACGTTTTCTTGAGGAAGACTACTCTCAACTTTGCTAAAGGCTATCTTACAGCCCACAACCTCCGTCCTTCTTGGGGTTCATGAGGTAGGCAAAGTCCCCAAATTTCCGCCAACCTTATGTTCTACTTGAGCACGAATTTTATGCAATGTTCCATATAGCGTTATTTTCAAGGCTCAGCCACATACTCAACTGAATTCCGACTGAGAATCTCTTTCCGTTTCTCGCTATCCTAGTGTACTTGAGCATTTATGCAATGTTCCATATAGCGTTATTTTCAAGGCTCAGCCACATACTCAACTGAATTCCGACTGAGAATCTCTTTCCGTTTCTCGCTATCCTAGTGCTGCACACATTCTAGAGATAACCCGTTTTAAATGATTCATCTTGATGCATGTCATGCTTGTGTGGTCCAACTGATGACTATTCAAAACAAGACTGGCCTCGCCCACAAAATATTTTTTCTTCGTGGTTTCTCATGATGTCTGTATGTTTTGAGTAAATCTTCTGTGGGTTTTAAACAATCATTAGTGATTTTGCACGCGAACAATCTTATTGTTCAAACCACCTCCCCTTCACTGACGTGAAAAGTGATCGCTAATCCAGGATAAGAGAAACGATATCACGTCCGAGATGAGAAATGAAACAAGCAGCGTCCAAAAACCAACCGAATCGGCTTCTATGGAGATTGCTTATCTGATCGTATTAGTTAGTGTGCACGCGAGAAACCCCCTGATTTCGCCAAATAAGCCCTGATTTGCCAGTCTATTTTCAGTGGGAACAGAGAACCTTCATCGGTGTTTTAACCGATGAGATAATAAGAATCACTGATGATAAGGGATGCAATATTGTCTAAATTTTCCGTTCAATTGCTGTTTTGTCTTTCTTGCAAAATCACCTATCTGAAAGTGATCAGTTCAAGCGTGAGCACTGAAGTTCGTACAAGTTAGGTGCAATTAAGCCCCGTTTGTTTGGACAAAACATAGACGCTTCTAAGCTTGGTATCCTTTCCAATGCATTGAGCATACGGCCGGAACTAAGACGTAATAAAGTTAATGTGAAGGTAGATTTTTGTTCGACCTATGTCAGATTCCAGTTTTTCTAAGTGAGATTACCTCTCAGTTGGGTAAATACATCTGGACACAATATCCTTTGTCTATTCACAACCCCCGGGGAGTGTGACCTTACTGTCCAGTGGTCTGGACCACTCCGTTTTACGACAAACTGGTAATAACCGTACACCGAAAAACGCTTTTTGTTGAAAACATATACTCCAATCGGTCAGAACAAAACCACCACAAATAAGTTGAAATTGGGAGTGGATATCCCATAGAAACAAAGTGGGGTGGAGCAGTTTCTCCATAGAATAGAGCAATCTTCCTAGTTGGTTCGTCTCATGAAAATGTACTCAATAACCCCAGGTTTTATCTGCAGAGTGGACTTTGTACAGATGTGTTTATGTAGTATCTCAAACAATAAAGTTCTTGTTGAAGAACAGGATGAAAACAAGAAACAAGGGGACCGTGGTAGCCCCATTTAACACTGATATTTCAGGTCATCCAAGTTAAGCCTAAAATATCTGATGAGCCAGTAAAGATTCAAAAGGCAAACTGGCTGTTATATTTTATGCCTAAAAATAGAGAACTGCTCTAATCTTTCTCATGACCTGGATAAGGAAGTGATTTGAAATGCATGGGATCTTTATAAGGCTTTTCCCACTTGCTTGAGTAATCAGACGTCTCAGATTTGTTAAAAGATAAGCGGGCACCCGGAATTTCCGAAAGCATGGCCGTCTTCCCTTAGTCTTAAAACGATTGTTCTGATTAGTGCACACCCCAAAAGTGCTAAATTCGAGTTTTCCCCTCACTTGCATTGATCGACAGTCTGATATCTGATACGTGAGGCAAGCGTGCTGCTAGTACACGCTGGATGTAGGTGAATTAACGCGTCTGGACCGGTGACCATGCTCGCTTTTTGAGTAAAGCAGTTCGTTTTTCTAAAAATGCCATTGTGGAATACAGTGTGTCAGAGGGGAGGGGTGCGAAACCATCATTAAGTCGCCCTGAGTACAGACTGAGAACAGCCTATATGTAATGCGCTGCTCATTAGGTTGCTGGAGGTTATTCGACGGCCCACGACATACCATGACATACCATGCTTCGCTTGATCATCAGTGGATGTGTGCACTGCCAAGTCCACGTTGGCTTACGGTATAGGTTCCGTCAAATATGGCCATCGTACGTCTGGACCAAAAACTCGTCAAGAAAATACAGCTGGTTTTCTGTTCCAGCGTACAAGTACTGTTTTGAAGACAAACTGAAGCATGGCACACCAGAAAACCATTGCTGAAAAAAATTGCTGTAAAGGTCATACTTAGTTAATACGTCGTTCGTGTTCATATCACTCGTTTAATCGTTCTTGATGACTTCTTTGTCCTAATAATGTGTAAACGTCAAGCGACATCTTCGGCTCTCAGGTGACAGAGTTGATGATCGGCGAGCCAACTGATTCAGAATTTGCTGTACACTTTCGTTTGACGATGATGTTGTGCGGATACGGGTGTAAACAAATGTGTATGGAAGGATGTGACTGTTACGAGTGGTGCATGAATAGAGCAGTGTCAGTGGATTTTCACTGAGGAGATCAGTGGAAGAAGCTCTGTACTAAAAGCAACTGCTTGGATGCATGTGCACTATTAGGTGCGATACTGAGCCGTACTTATTATTGTCTCTAACGATTGATGCGTTCGGTGTCGGGCTCCCCATCCATGAAGTATGCAATAATCAGTACAGCTGGTTTCAATGTCTATGGGTTTCAAACTTCGCTGCCAAGTCGTTTCGTGATCTTCACTGGTATATGTTTACCCTTTACATGGTTTTGCGGAAAGAAATTTCCAAAGCAATTGTCCAACTGGCAAACAGAGTACGTGACCAAGCCAACGCAACGTACGAAGTGTGACCAGTTCATCTACTGTAGAAAAGTTATTTTTTCGAAAAAATATTCGACATACTCTAGAATTCCTGACTCGATACTCCGAACAGGCTCTTTCGGAAATACTGATCTAGAGAGGTAAAAAAAATAATGATTCATTGGTTTCATCTTCGCCGTTTTTCAGAGTCAAATATGTTCACTATAAACGTCAATAATGTTTAGCCATTTTGATTTTATCTATGGCAGTCTGTAATAGAATTATTAGAGGCTATTTCTTCTGGTCATTATCTGACATCCCATTTCTGTCCCACAGTCAAAACCAAACACAGGACAGATGCGAATTCATCAGTTGGAAAATGTAAACAAAGCACTTCGGTTCCTCTACTCTCAAGGTGCTCATCTAGAAAACTTAGGTGCACAGGACATAGTGGACGGAAATCCAAACTTAACTCTGGGACTCATTTGGACGATTATCCTTCACTTCCAGGTGGGTCCCCGTGCTTGTATCCCTGTGCGAATTCCATTACGGTTGAGTCTGTTTGTGGCAAAATTTTCACTTCCGTAGTAGACAGGATTG